TATAGGAATTAGAGGATATCCTTCAAATGAGACTTGTGTCCTAAAAAGCATGAAATGAGAGTGCTTCCTGTCCCAGGCAAAATCTATCAAGGTATCGAGGCCCTCAGGTTATACTCTTGGTTTTCAAAACGCCAGATTTGCATCTCTTTCTGTGGCTCAGTAGTTGAAGGCTATGAAGATTCATGGTTTTACTAGAAGGGTATGTTTTTGTGTAAGTTTTACCAGAATTGGGTGAATCTGAAGGTCAAGGAGCTATAAGATAAAGAAAGGGCTCTTGCTGTTCTACCAGCTGCTCCTTCCAGTATTAAATGCCTGCCAATAAGCTAGCTAAAACCAATCTTGTGATTGGAATGGGATAGAAATACAGGAATCCTATAAGCTGTTTACAGTTTGCTAGGATAATACTTGGTTGGTCTGGAGGCCCTTTCACTGGAGGTTTGGATCATATTAATCTTGCAAATATTCTATCGTGGTAGGTAGATAGGTATCATTAGTTAGAGATGAGGCTGCTGAAACACAGGCAAGTAATGTACCCCAAGTAATATGAGACCAGAAATAAAACACGGCCTTTATTTATTATGAAGAAATTAGGGAATAAATTGCAAATGACTGTTTGCCTCTCCCTGAGCCTGCTACTGCCTAGCAACGATTGCTAGATAGGATAAACATCATTAACTGTAAGAAGTTCAGTGTCTAAAAAGACATTAGGAGTGCTGATAGGCAGTCTTGAGATGACTCTGTGCTATTTTAAAGGATTATCTTTTTTTGTATTTTGGGTCTAAGGGCAGTCCCAGTCTTGCCCATGGTATGTGTACAAATGCATGTGCACACTACTTTTTATATGATGGATTTTGCTTTATCATGGTCTTATAGTTAAGTACAGTAGGGAAATGATTCTGCAGCCAAAATAAAAATTAGAAATCTTGTACACTGCATGCAGGAGCTTCTCAGGAAATCATTCTAGCTCACTGTTCCTGTCAAGCTGGGGAATATGCCTGTTAATTTCCCATGACAGAAAACACATCACCTCATCAGCAGCCCTAGAAAATGACAAAATGTCCAAACCAAAAAGAAGCCTGACTGCCAAACACTTTCATTTCCACTGCTGCAGGAGGAGGGGGACTGGAAGGGGAGGAGGGGCATGCTGTAGAAATTTCAAGAAAGCAGAATAATGTGCCTTGCTACCTGTAGTGTCCCCCTGTTATGCTTTATATTACTGCAAACCCTTCATCTCTCAGTCAAGATGTGACCCTTCCAGAGTACCTTTGAGCCAGAGGGTACACAGTCATTTAATTCTAAAAGGATAATTTATACTCCTGAATCTGGCGAGTGTGAAATTCTTTTTTAGTGTTTGTGCTGAAGCAAACAGCTCTGTGCAAAATCTACACCTGCAAATTTCTTACATATTTAAGTGATAAGAACAAACGTGGTTCAGTGACATACTGTACTGTGTGTATTAACCTATAGCAGTGGTAATTTCATCTGAAGCTACTGTGCTGGTCCTTAAAGCCTTTGTAACCCTACTAACTGTAATACTACTGCTTTTTTTTTTTTTTAATGAACAGGAATTTTGACAAGATGATAACATTTCTATAGTTACTCTTCTTATTTCTGGAACTCATGCAGGAAAGTGTTTTTCCTCCATGATGAAGTACTACATTTGTAAGTTAGTTGCAGAAAAAAATGGTGTGTGTGTATGTATTTATGTACGTATTTACCTCAGGTAAATATATTAATATTGTATTTTTATATAAATATACTACAATGGATCAGCTTCCTCCAGCAATGAAATTACAGTCACATAAAGGACTAAATAATTCATGTTGCCGCAGAAATAGTTCTGGTTCTCATGTTGCAAAGGTAATTTTCAGACTGTGAACTGGGTGGGAATTGGTGTTATGGTATCTTTTTAAGCATTTGGACAGCCTGAAACTCAAGCCTGCAGAGTTTTGGATGTCTCCTATTTGTTTTGATGTGTATTCGACTGTGCAGTCTGACAGTTCTTTCAGTTCTTCATTACAGCTTCTGCTGTAATGGCAAACAAGGAAAATTAAGTTAGCAGTGTATTGTAGATAACATGTTTGCTTTTGCATCTCATGGGATATTTGGCATGAAGTGGAGTAGGAGATATGGGAATAGTTTAGGGCTTCCAAGGTTGCTGAAATGATGATGAAGCCTGCAGCTGGAGGTTTTACTGCCGTGTGGTTGGGAGGTCATCTGTTGTGTGACAGAAATGCTTTCCATTTTGTTTGTGTGATGGACGCCTGCCAAATCACAGAATCACAGAATTGTAGGGGTTGGAAGGGACCTCCAGAGATCATCAAGTCCAACCCCCCTGCCAAAGCAGGTTCAAGTGGTTGGCTGAGAAGAACCAGAGGACCCTTGAGAAGTGGCAAAGCAGGGACAGTTATTCCAGAAGATCCAAGCCTTCTGCCACATACAGGTGGTGACTGCTGTAGATAGTTTTTTTGCAACGTATTCTCTGCAAAGTGCAAGGTCTTTCCAAGTACATAGACAGGTGTACTCTGTAAACATGTGTGTTGCACACACAAGAAACGTGCAAATATATGCCTAATATAGTCTGGCACAGTGGCATTCTGGTTTGGATGTAGGTTTTTGTGAAATATCTTTCTCCAAGCCTGAAATATTCAGGACAAGGTGTTGATCAGCAGTGAAGTTATGATTTTCTTTTAGGTCCATGTTGTAAGTTGCAATGCTTCAGAGCAAGGTTGGCTGATACGTTTCTTTGCATATTATATTAATGACTGCAATAATGAACTTCAGTTGTTTTGGTTTCAGAGATTTGTGCATCCCAAAGATGTGGGAATTGTAGAATAATAAAAACTACGCGATCAGCTACTTTGGTTAGAATGAGTTTATCAAGGTTTGCTGTTATTAGAAAATGTAACTGTTTTCCTCCTAAAATGTATTCAAAAAGCTAACAACTTTTGAAAACACCTTGGAGACAATTGCTTATCCCAAAGTTTTATTCAATGAGTCTCTCAAAATCTGTTAAAATCAAACTTCATTTATCATTCGTCGTTTAAGATGTAAGACTTTGTTTTGACTGCATAGGGTTTGTCTAAGGAAGTGCTAACAGTAATGTTGTTTTTCATTTGGGCAAATCTGCCTCTACTTAACTGACACTATTTTAAAAATTTATAAATAAATATTTATTAGGAAATAAATTGAAAAACAGTCTCTCTAGGGTCAGGAGGGAATGCTGGTGATAGCTGTTTTATCTTACCTGTTCCTAGCAGTTACGTGATTCAGTACAATTTAATAAAATATAATTTCTGCAGGGATGGGATTGGGAAGCCCTTGAAAACATTAGCACTTACGTTTCTGTGTAGGTTAAGGTGAGAGTAATGCAGTGAAAATAAGTCCCAAGGACATAATTACAGGGTTCTATTTGACCATATGCTGCTTGTCCTGGCAACATGAAGAAGCAGGCACACATGGTTGGAGAAATTTGAAGAATATAATTGGGTCCAGTTGACAAATCTGATGTAAAACAGACATCTCTTCTACCTCCTCAAATGCTCCACGTCAGTTGATGCTGCTCATGTGAAGACACTTTGTTAAAATTATCCATGTCAAAGTTCAACCAGAGAGTAGGGATAAATTATTTGTATTGCAGAATTCCTCTGTATTTTAAGAATAGCTACATTCAATGTTAATAATGAGGTTCCTCATTTAATTCAGTGTACTACAGCTCCCAGTAACCAGATAAATTCTCTACAGTCGTATATATGCCAGAAATGATGCATCTTGTTTATTATTCCAGTATTATTCTATAGCCTGGGGAATTCATGCACGAGGCATTTTTTACCCTTGGGTTCTGCCTGCAGAACAACTCTAGCGATAGTGATGTGAGGTTGCATATTTCTATCTGCAGTGAGAGCTAGAAAGAAATTGTATTGAACTGCCTTAAAATGCAAACACAAACTGTGTGGAGAGGACTTGTGCACCATTCCCATGGTTTGGCAGACTAACTTTATTGGTGCTTGTTACCCCCTCTTGAGTCGTGAGTATGTTTTCCAATAATAGCTGTCTGGAATTTGTAGAAATGTTATGTTTGCTGATGTACAAGAAAGGAATATGCTTCTCTTGCTGTGTCCTTTACTAGAGTGGCTTGCTACAGTTCCTACAGGATGAAAAAGAAATGAAAAAACAGAGCTTTGAACAGCTCTGTATTGAACTCCTAGAAGGACAAATCTGAACAGCCATTTTTAGATGTTCTTTTCCTTCCTTGTTTACATTTTTAAAGTAGTAAATAGAATTTTGCATGTTTAGCTGGACTCTCTTCAGAAATTAAAGTTATCACCTTCCCTTGTGGACATACATTTGCATGTGTTTGAACTCAGTTGAGCTGTGTCTCTGGAGGTGCCTCTTGTCATCATTATAGCTGCCATTTCCATGGATGTGCATCCTCTTTCTCTCCCCCTGTTTTGAAGATAACTGTGATGGAGATACCTCAAGTCCTGCTCAGGAGTCAGCTGGCAATCTAGTATTACTATCTTGCAGAGCATAATGTCATGATGCAAGAATGTTATGTTTATGATCTAAGAGAGAAGAGGAACAGGTTAAATGACAATGCGGTTGGACACCACAGTTTTTAAGAGACTGGGTGCAGTCGTATAAAAAATGCAGCATTCCTGAAGAGATCTTTCTTACTTCTTAGTAGATGTTATAACGTTAGATTCAATTTGCTGTAGCAAAAAAAAAGAAAAAAAAAAAAAAAATTATAAATGTGACATCTAATTCCTAAATTTGCTTCCTGTCTCTCTTGTGTGACCAAATACATTGTTATTTTAGCAGTGCTGTGGACCAGATCATAATGTCAGTAGAATTGTATAGTGGGATATTTGCTAACAGCATATACTGTAGCTCGTGACTATTTGGCTTTTTCTTCTTTCCAGATGCTTTGTTGTTTAAAGAGAATTTTCTCATTTTTGCTTGTCATTCATAATGCCCATTCATCCTTTAATATCTTCTAGGTTGCCACTTTAGAATTCCCTCCTAAGAAGCTCTTTGGAAACAAGGATGAACGAGTGATTGCAGAGCGGCGGAGTCACTTAGAGGTAATGGCATCTTTCTCACTTTTGAAGTGTATTTAGGTGGAGCACTTTCTGCTTGACCAACGGAAACTGTTCCCATATGATCACACTTAAATAGCCTACCTGTAAGTACGGAGTTACTTGCTGCTTCATTTAACACAGGAGATGGCAGCAGTAGATTGCGAAGTAATGAAGCACGCCTTTAAAAAATCCTAGTCTGGAAAAAAAAAAAAAGGACATCTCTTTAGAGGTACGTTTATTTAGGGGGGAAAGGTTGCAGATGAGGTAAGTGTTCACTGTAGACAGATGGTCTCTATGGAAAACGAGATTAAAAAAAAACAACTTGCTACTTGAAATGCAGTTTGTTATCTGAAGATTTACTATTTTATCATAGTTACTGTAACCAAATAGCTCATGACAGAAGGAAAGCAATATATAGGCATCTCTGAGCTTTATTTTATAAGCCACGATGGAGCGTATTTTTCCTTGAATTCATTTGAAAGCTTAATTTTATGGAGAACAAGATTGACAGAGGGTGGAGTTTGGTTTTTATTGGTTTGTTCTGCAGTGCTGTGCGGATGGCACAGCAGTCTTGACTCCTGTAAAAGTTTAGGTCTTTATATTTCTATACTCCCTTCCAGTACTTGAAGGGAGTGTTTAAACAGGAGGGAGAACAACTGTTTACATGGGTTGATAGTGATAGGACAAGGAGAGATGGTTTTAAACTGAGATGGGAGATTTAGGTTAGATATTAGGAGGAAGTTTTTCCACGCAGAGGGTGGTGAGGCACTGGAACAGGTTGCCCAGGGAGGCTGTGGATGCCCCATCCTTGGAGGCATTCAAGGCCAGGCTGGATGTGGCTCTGGGCAGCCTGGTCTGCTGGTTGGTGACCCTGCACATAGCAGGGAGTTGGAACTAGGTGATCATTGTGGTCCTTTTCAACCCAGGCCATTCTATGATCCTGTGATTCTAATGTACACTTTGTTGCAGCCTGAGAGCAGGAGATGGAGTTTGGGGAAAGAAGAGGAGGAAACAAAGACTAAAGCATACAGTCTCCAACTGTTTTGTATCCACATGAAGATTACTTGATCATGCAAGTCATAAAGAATTACTTTCTTTGTAGAGCAGGAATAGTATTAAGTAGAGCTTTAGAAAATTTAATATAAACTTATATTGCTTCCAACTGGAATCTTTTCTTGCATGTCTTGATTTTTTTTTCCCCATGTATTTCACCTTGTCTTTGATCCACAAACAGAACATCCCCCCACTGTCTTTTGATGTGAGGTTGTCTTACATGTAGCACAAAATGTAATCTTTTTGTTTCATGTCCTCCGTAGAGGGCATAAAGGCACGACCACATTCCAGTCTGGTACTCAATTTGCATATTTTTGTACCAGTAAGAAATTTAATCCCTTAATCTTTCTGACCTTCTATTGATTTGCTAACCAACTTTATTGTAGTGTTTCTGAATGTTAAAACTCCTGTGTATAGTGATGCTTTGATCATGATCATGTAGTGATTGTAGCTCTCAATATGGCTAGTTTTTAGCTTTAAGTTGTATCTATTTTAGCCAAATTATGTCATTAAAACTTTATTACCAATATATTCTGTAAATATTATAATTTACATGAATATGTTTTGCCATATGCCAGGCAGAAGTGCACTAGGCCATGCCGTTCAGTATTCCTGGCAAGTCTTTCTGCATTACAGAAACATAAGATCTCCAATGATCAAGAGAAAGTTATATAAAGAGAACAGGGAACCAAGCATTACCATCCTTGCCGTGAGGAATTTGATGCCATAAGCTTTCACCAGTTCATGAAGATGGCAAAAATGCCTTAAGTCTTGATCTCTGTTCCTGGCATTTAATTTTATCCCCCTTTTTTGCAATGCTCTGCTCTGGCTTTGCACTTTAGACCAAAAGCTGATAAGCTTCAGATAATGTAGCTGAAACTTCCTTGGCAAAGCAGTGGAAGAAACAGAATCACAGAATGGCTAGGGTTGGAACAGACCTCAAGGATCATGAATCTCCAACCCCACTGCCACATGCAGGGCCACCAACCTCCCCATTTAATACATCCAACCTAAATCTCCCCTCTGTCAACTTAAAACCATTTCCCCTTGTCCTGCAGTTATCTACCCTTTCAAAGAGTTGATTCCCCTCCTGTTTGTAGGCTCCCTTTAGGTATTGAAAGGCTGCAATGAGGTCACTCTGCAGCCTTCTTTTTTCCAGGTTGAACAAGCCCAGCTCCCTCAGCCTGTCTTTGTAGGGGAGGTGCTCCAGTCCCCTGATCATCTTTGTGGCCCTCCTCTGGACCCTCTCCAACAGCTCTCTGTCTTTCTTGTGCTGGGGCCCCCAGACCTGGACGCAGTACTTCAGATGGGGCCTCACAAGAGCAGAGTAGAGGGGGACAATCACCTCCCTGTCCCTGCTGGCCACCCCTCTTCTGATGGAGCCCAGGATACCATTTGCCTTCTGAGCTGCAAGGGCACACTGCTGGCTCATGTTCAGCTTTTCATCCATCAAGACCCCCAGGTCCTTCTCCACAGGGCTGCTCACAAGGACCGCTCCTTCCATCTGTATGGATGCCTGGGATTCCTCCGGCCCAAGTGCAAAACTCTGCACTTTGCTGTGTTGAACCACCCTCTGTCTGCGGCCTTTCAACCAGTTTCGTATTCATCGAGTGGTCCACCCGTCAAATCCACATCCCTCCAATTTGGAGATAAGGATGTGGTGGGGGACCATGTCGAAGGCCTTGCTCAAGTCCAGGTAAATGACATCGGTCACCTTTCCTTTGTCCATCAATGCCGTCACTCCAACCACTCCAAACCACCTATATTGCAGTTGTTTCCATAGTCACATAAGTCTTTGCAGACTCAAAGCACATCTTGAATTATACTGGGAAACTTTGGCAGACAAAGGGTGTGTGATAATGCACCATGGCACAGGCAACTGCTTCTATTTAAAATGCTTGCTTTTCCTTTCTCACAACGAACCATGAGAATATGTAAGTGGACTAACCTGAAAGTAGAAGGTGAATGGATTGCCTCTCTAAGGGAGTTTGGCTTTTGAACAGGGCATGTTTCTCATGTGGGAGTTCAATCAAATAGGAGGTGGAGAAGTCAGACCTTGATAATGAGCAGAGAGATGGCTAGTGTTTATTCACTTGGCTTTCATACCTCATAGCATAGCCTGATTTGCTGAAAAATCTCTTGCAAGCCTCACAGGTGATGTTATTCCAGTAATAATATCATTTGAAAGCTTATTCGATTGTTTCACATGATTAGGCAAGAGCTAATGAGTTAATACAGCATTTTTAAAGCAAAGCTCAGCTTCTAGGCCAACAAAAATGTATATTCTTATCCAAAGTCTAAGCTGATTTGATTGACTGATAGTATGTGACAGCCTGACAAATATCAGTCTGTTCTGAACAAATATTCCGTGTTGTAAGGTCATTAGTAGAGCTGTCATCTCTGTGGTGGATAACAAAGGAATTACTCTTCTCTTTCAGCTTTTACATTAGATATTTATATATTTTGAACAGGCTTTGTGTTGTTTTTCCTGGACTTCTTGGATTAATTTTGGAGTGGAACAGTAGAGCTTTGGCTAGCCCAGGGCATTCTTGAGCAGCATCTGTGAGGAGAAGCAGTTTCTCATTTAATTCACATTTTTTTCCAAATATGCACACAAAAGAAAATTCAAAATCCAGTGCACACCTGTGTAAAAGATAAAACAACTGAAGCTCTCATTTCAGTCAAACACCTTTCTAAAGTACTTGCTGGAATTAGCAGTGGGTTACTGAAATGGCCTCATAGGCTCTTTTCTTTATGTCAGAGCTAAATTGCAACTCGATCTGATCTGGGAAATTAGGCAGACTGGGAGTTCTTGTAGGAGCAAAACTACTCCTCAACTTCAGAATTAGCTAAATGTACAGCAGAGAGCTACTTCTATTGCATATATCTCAGCATCTGTTTTAATTGCCTCCCTTTGGCTGCAGTCAGGGAAATTTTTCCTTGTGCCTAATTACAAAACCATTTGGCCAAAATATCCTTTGTGGGACCCATAGCTGTTTAGGAAGAGTTTGTTTATTTCCTACACTGCACCTTTCAGGTTCTAGCCACAACAGGAGCAGAAGTACTGAAAATAGCAGGAGGGCTTTTGTGGCTGTGTTCAGTGCAGCTGAAATGCTGGCGAGGATCTTCTGGGAGGGCTGTTTTGTTTTTAAGATTGCCGTGTAGTATCACCTTGTTTCACCTTTAGTTAAGAAGTGGGCATATTATTTTACTGGAATGAGAGTGATGTTACTTTGAGAGAAGACTCCAGGGAGCCCCCAAATTATGAGGATTTTAATTTAAAATCACAATGAATTCAAAGTTTATCTAAAACATTGGGTTCTTTATTTCTCTGTTGTTGTTTTTTTTTCCTACCTACTACAAGTGCTTAATAACCAAAAGTTTCACAATACATTATAGGTAGAAAAGTGCACGTTGGGTGTGATCTTCTACTATGAGATGAAAACCTGGAGAGAATTCTGATATACAAGATACGTATTTGCAGGGTAAACAGCAGGGTAAACACTTCTGCTTTGATGCTTGTTGGTATAATGTGATTGTTTGACCAGTGTCATACATTTCCATAGAGGTTTTGAAAAATAACCTGCAAATTGGCACAGGGGTCTCACCTATACATCATGAGAATAAGCACCTAACTTGTGTTTAAAATTACCTGTCCTAAGTGCCCTGTTGCTATCTATTAATTTAGTATTTCATCAGGGACCTGTTGCAGGGCAAAACTCTAAATTAATTGTTCCGCAGTCTGAAGGCTGTAATTTCACTTCAGAGCCAACCTTGCTTGATTAAATCCGCCTTAAATGAAACAGCCAAGAATTCTTTTGATTAAAGTTAATGAGTAGAAGTTAGTGTGTATCTATCCTTTCATGCAATTAGAAACCAGTAAATAAGTATATAGGATCCCATTTTTTCCCTGATGAAATCAGAAGATGTATACATCCTTTTTCAGTTCA